AAGGTCATTAATACTGCCAAGGAGACATTGTCATTTTTAGTTTCCTGGGGCTCAGGCTGCACCAGAGCTAAAGATATAGATGGTCTAGGACAAGTTAAGGAGAGCAAAGCTTGCTCCTGACTTGTATTGCATATTTATTTTTATTGCCATTAGGCCAGAGAAGTGTAGCTCAATTGCTCTAGCAACAGGGAGTGATACATGCTAAAAAACCCCAAAGGAATAGGAAAAGTGGCATCAGTGGTAAAATACAGAACACGTTCAGGACTGCCAAAGTCCTCCTAGGCAGTCAGGAACAAGACGTCTTCTTACTTGGCATTGCCACTTCTGAATACAGTGGAATTAAGAAACGAGATGTCTGTTTCAGAGCATCAGTAGAGGTGCTCTTTTTTTTTAAACTTATGCTAAAACCAGATGACTGCAAAAGTTTCCCATGTTACAAAGAAGGCTTCTTCCCCTTTCCTCCCCTGCAGAACTAATTTAATAATAACTAACTTAATAATAGCAGCAGGACAGTTTTGTAATCTGAATGTAAATGCTCTGAAGCGTCACCTACGCCCAGCAAGGGTTATAGGGGTTACACAAACACCAGCTTTAGCTGCAGAATGCCTTAGGGACAAGCCTGCTCCATAGAAAATGGGGAGAGAGGCATCTCCAAATACAGGGACACAGCTCCATAATATGAAGCACCTAAGTAGCCTCATACTCTTGGACTTGCCTTCAGGAACCTCTGGATTCCTGTAATAATAAGGGGCCTGAGCTTATGAATACCTCAGCCTGCAGCTGGAGTTTGATGATACTTCAATTCAAGAGTTTTGTTGGAACGGAAGAGAGAGGAGCTAGTTCTCTGTTGAGCACGTTCTGGAAAACCAAGCAAGACCTGTTCTAGCAACTGTCCACAACCAGCTAATATTGGTTAGTCATAAGCAGTATTTTCAGAGGCCACTGTTGTCTATAAATGACATGTTTTGGTACCTGTCCAGAACGCTGCAAAGTTGAAGCATCTAAATGAGCTTCAGTGTGCAAGTATATGAAAGTAGAAAGGGGAGCAAAACCAACTGAAACAAATAGAGATTAATAGCAGGATAAGAAGTTTATAATTACGCAAAAAACCCACTGTCCATGCTGAAGAGATAAACAACAGAGGTAAAGACAAGAATTTAGAAAAGTTACTATCCTGAGCATTCAAAATCATTGATAATACATCAATGCTAATCACAGTTTGCATGCAGAAACCTTAGTTTCTGTCACTGCCGAAGAGGTTAAGTTCCCCACACAGGTGACTGTAAAATCTTATGAGTGAATGATAAATTGGAATGCAGGAATCTTTTTGTAACATCACGTAGTATGATTGGTGGTGCTTATATAGACTGGGAAGAAAAAGAATTTAGAACTTATGAAAGACATTTGGTGTGAAAAATTACAACTATAAAGGTCTGGATCCAAGCTCATTGACAATGCGATGACATTTGCCTCTCTACTACATGGAACAATACTGTCACTGTTGTCACACCACTCCAAAGAACCTCTGTCATAACAACAGCCTCCTTCTAGAGTGTGAATGGCAAAAGGAGGAAGGCTATAGCGCAGAATCATTACCTGCTTGCCTTTACTCTGAAAGGTACAGAACTGCTCTGGAAAGCTGTGTCCTCACACAAACCGCCATCTCTTGCCCTTGGCACGCTTACGGGATGGATGGCAGGCTTTGAGGACAGCTGTGTTATGGGAATGTCTTCACACTGCACTATGACAAGTCTGCTAGACATATCCTTAACGCTCAAATTCTAAGATTCCCAAATAAATTTTGTTCTGTCGGCTTGATTTTTCTGCCCCAAATTTGCATGGCCCTACTCTCAATACCGTAATAGCTAATAATGAAAAGAACAAAAGTCCTGGCAGAATGCAAGACATGCCTGGCTATTAAAATACTTTAATAACAAGTTAGTAACGCAATTCTACCTATGCAGGAAAGAAAATGCAGTGTACTTAATGCAATGAATTATGCATTATCTTATGTCAACAAAAAGATTATGAGTTCTTCTAAACCCACTCTAGGGGTGACAGCAAAAAACAAAAAAATCCTTACCTTAGTTGAACTTAAATGGTGTATTCTGTCACTAGAAAAGCTTTGGGGTATTGGAGGATCAGGGTAGTCATCAACACTTTTTGATGCATTCTTTTTGATGACTTCTACATAGGAAACAGGGAAGATGCCTTGTCTGTTGGTTCCTGGTATTTTACCTTCATACCAGTTTTGATCAACTCGCTTGAGAAGAATTACTCTGTCTCCCTGAAATGCATGATGAAAATGAGTTATCAGCAGATACGCTGTAAGTTATTTTTTTGAATAGCAGGTATTATTTTAACACATAGGATTATTTTCCTTGTGGTGCTGTTTCCCCATCAGTCTTGAGAATCGTCTCCATTTTCACATTTCTCCTCCCATTTACATTAACCACGGACACAACTACCATTCCAGCGAAACGGGGGGTGAGTCACGAGTGCAGATGCTACTCTTTTGTCAGAGGGGAATCTCATGTAGTCTCCTCCTCTTGGTTGGGGGATTAACATTTAAACTTTTCTTTGGATCATAACCTGTTTTAACTGTTGGCCAAACTACTAGCTAACACCCTGTCATATACAATAGTGACTACTGTGGCCATTTTTCCTTAAAAGTGATAAAAGCATAGTAAAAATAATAACAAAAGCCATGCAAGTGGCTTTGTTATCAGTAAAACTGGATTAAGTGGAGGTAGAAAGTTAAAAAATGAGTTCATGGGAAAGGTGAGAGAAAGAAGTGCATTTCCTGTGTAAAAAAGATGGGCCGTGGCTCACCTACTGATTTTAGGTGCTTAGCAATTGAAATCGAAAATGTCAACTTTCTATCCAAATGTCTCTCTGCAGTGAAACTTCATGAGCTACCCCCTCCTTCGTTTTACATGATGTGCTTTTTACTCCGTGTCTTTCTGTAACAAATCCTTCCTTACTAGTTTTGTGTTCTCTTGGGCTTCTGTAATTTTGTTTCTGTAGCTGGTTTGTGGAGTAGCCTAAAATCATCTTTAGTGGGATGGAACAAAAAAAAAGCTAGTGCAAGTTAACTTTTAAAAACAAACCAAAACTGGGCAGTCAAGATTATGACCACCACAATAAGCACAGAAGAGAATTTTAAAAGGGAAGAAATCATTGAACTACTCCCAACCCCTTGTTCTCCAAGTTCCTATTCCTGATTTTTTTTTAGACTTCTGATGTTTACCAATCTCAAAGGAGTGGAAAAACACCCATTATTTTCAGTGATGCTGCGTTAGGCTCTAGGTCAGCATCAAAAAACTGTATCCTTACTTCTATTTCAATAGAAAAACAAACCACTGAATAAATTCCATGAACTCCAATTCTTAAAAAAAAGTAAGAGGCAGAACTTTCCACTGGATAAAAAGTATACACGACTTACAACTAAGTATATATCTGCAATAATCAAGTTTCTCTACAGCAGTAATATCCCAGTGTCTGTTCTGAGAAACCTCAGAAACTAAACATTTATTTTGCTCATGTGCAATAAAGTATAACCCCCAGGATGTGCACAGAAAGAGAAGAGAACGTTATCAAAAGCAGACTGTTATTACATGAAATAGCTGCAAGAACTGGTGGTACTTTCACAGAAGTGCCTGTGAGCCTTTTTTCCTATATTTTTCTGCTTTCTGTATTTTTCCATTTCTTCTATATGAAAAGCCTTAGCATGAGAATTGTGACAGCAACAAACAATTATTAAAAAATGGGAACAGACAACTGAAAAAACTAGTGAAAACTAGAAATGTAGGTGGGCGGTTAGCAGATGTTTGCACATGCTAATCTACCACAATCCAGTTTACATGCGCAACATATTTAAACCGTTTGCAGGTAGCTGTGCAAGACTGCAAGCCAAAAAGCTATGATGTCAGTAGGTTCCTACCATGACATTGCTCTGGGCATAGCAAATATTGAGTGCAGAGTGCACCAAAGCACAGTATTTACCTATATATTCATTTTGTGCAGCAGTAGACACTATAATAGTAGTTTGATAATGGTAGTTTTGAAGTGTACCTTTCTCAGCGACAACTCCACGTTTGTGTCAGCACTGAAATTGTATTTGGCAACAGCTTCTCCGATCTCTCCAATCTGTGCAGGGGGAGGTGGCCTGGCAGGCTGTGCTTTTTCTGGGGGAGAAAGTTTCTAAGGAGAAGAAAAAACCACAAATTTTCATCATTCCCATGCAGTTTGTGGACCTATTACCCAAACTAATTCATGGAATTAAAACAGAGAACAAACCTCGACATAAGAAATTGGGAATATTCCAACTCTTCCATGGTGCTCACCCTCATACCAGTTTTGATCAATTTTCCTGAGGATATAGACGGTATCTCCTTTCTTAAAGGACAGCTCTCTGTAACAAATTTATTTAGGTCAGATGTTTACAGTTTTACATTTAACTCCTCTACTTGCGTAGCTTCTGAGATCTTTATGGTTTGGAACTGAAACAGAAGGTAGCAACTAAACATCTGAAGAAAAACTGTCACAGCTGTGGTGCATTTATGAGTTGATTATACCATATAAAATTAAATGACTCACATTTATGAATCCTAGGTACTATCTGTAAGTTATATAGGCCTGTTTTACACTGTGATTTCAAGAAGCATTGCTAGTTATTACTAGAGCACTTAGTATAGGGCCTGCATACTAGTATGATGTCTTTCGGATCGCCTGTTTAGGTGCTGCTTTTATGACAGGCATCCGAGGGGCACTTGGTATTCTTTATGAGATCAGTAGAGAAAAAAAGAATATATCCCACGTCTCTGTGGCCTATTACTACCATTTTGCAGCAGCACAGCTTGGTGTGCTTCTGCTCTACGCATTTTTCTTTCGAGACAGCTGCTCAGGCACAAAGAACACAGGATTGAGTTCTCACTGTTTCCAATACTGAGGGCCTGTGATGTGCTTAATGTTGGATACCAAAAAAGGGAATGATCCACATCATTAAGACCATTTTCAGTTCCTGGCCTGGGCATTCTTTGCTGTATCATCCATTTGGTGTTTCTAGGGCTTATCTGCTGTTCTGATAGTGCAAGTTGTGAGTTTTCTACCAGACACATTTCTACATTTCTAATGTAATTCTAGTGGCAATGTTTGGCCATATCTAAAGACCACTTAAATGCCCTGGATCATCAGAACAACAGCAGGAA